GATTAGCCAAATTAAGTGTGAACAAACTCAATTGTATGTGGGCTGCTATAGTAGTATTGTTCAACGATTCATTAGAAATGACTCCAAGTTCTTTATTACAACTACAGTCATAAGACTGTTGTAAGAAACAAATCAGTCATTGATTTTAAAGTGTTATTCATCACCAATGATATTGAGAAGCTGTGTGAAGTTTCTGAATAGATAATCAAGTCTCTCATTCAAGTGAAATGTTTTCGTTGAATTGTATGTTGGCAGAAACTCGTCAGTCATGTATGTCGAAAGTTTTCATGAGTATCGTACAATACAATTGAAGACTTTATGTCTTGTCCAGATGGATGAATAGTGATTCACATTTTTTAATTGATCTTGTAATATTATTCTATTTTTGAATAATAGGCGTGTATTTGATTTTGTTTGAACACATAAATATTTTTACAGAGGGGCACCAGATATATAAACACCGCACAAATCTCATTTGATTTGTGTGAGGGCTGTGATACTACTCGGGTGCCCAAACTGAAGCAGGTGGTTTTCTTATAGGGCCACACCCAGAGCCTTCAACATAAAGGTTTGATCCATAATGCCGTGAGGCATCGTGAGGAGATGCAGTTTCATGGTAGCCGGTGACCAACGGTTGATTCATACGCCACTTGTTCCCTGAGAATACTGGAGCCTATGTGTACCATTGGTTTGGAATCAGGGTTTTCCAACTCTCGTAGATGGACTTTCCGTGTCCACCAACTCGGTTAAAGCGCCGGACATTCTCTTTTCGTTCTTTCAATTTTGTAAACAACACCCACGCCACGGGAAAGCAGTGAGTAGGACTTCCTTAGCAAAGGCTATATACGTGTGGCCATGTGAGAGCATTTCGAGAGGGAGAGTGTACTCTCCACACTCTCGGCCGTACCAGGGCATTTTGGGCAGGCATGTACTAAGTGAAAGCTAATCATTTTATTGAAATAAATAACTTGTACAAACTTATTCATTTTGAAGATAAGAATCAGCAGACACTGAGGCAAAAGAATAAACTACTTAGAACAACCGCCTCGTTTTGTATTTGTCAATTCGACTGTACTTATAGAGCAAGTTATATTGATTCGTGCTCATGAATATCTTCCAGAGTGTCTAAGCAAATATCCATTGAAGAAAGATAACAGCTCGATATTGGCCCATTTAGTGCAAACTGGTCATAGTTCCAGCACTGATCTATTTGGATAAATAGAGCTTTAGCATTATAGCTGATGTCAGTTCGTAATGAAAACTCTAAATCTTATTCCTAACCTTAACCATCAACTGTGAATCATGATTCTCATTCCTCATACACTGGCTTATAACCCTAATTTAGTCTTAGATATTAGATGGACACTTTCATAGTCAGTTCAGCATCATTCAAGGGTTGTTCATAAATCATAGTCTCATCAATGTCCCGAGTACATTACTAATCGTCTTGAGACTCACACGACTTTATAAATTCTTACTGAATTCATAAAACTTTATACACAATCTAGTGTTCCACTAAACAAATGGTCGGATTTGTAATTGGACTATTAATTCTCTCACCTTATCTGATTCATCTCAAGAATAACAATTCTATTTAATAGTTGAATTCATGATTTAATTTAAGCTAGATCACCATTGAAAATCACTGGATAGTCGTTTCTTCATAGTACAGGACTCCTCTACAGTGCCTATGGACCATCCCTCACAACATGGGATTGAAACCCATGACATTCAGTCTCACGTGCGAACTCTTAACCTGTAATGTAAATGTAAATGTCATCTGTTATTTTGTTTATTTATTTTTGTTTTTTGTTCTATAAAAGATTTCAATCAATGGATGTAATCCAAATCTTTGTCAAAATGGTGCTTATTGTTATACATTATCTACTGGTTTCTATTGTAAATGTTCAGAAAATTTTTATGGACAATTCTGTGAACATCGACGACCATATTGTGGACCAGATGGTTGTGATACATTAATGGATCCATGTTTAATTATGTTAATGATACAAAATAATGATACATTCTCATATCCCACTTCGTTTTCCTCCACGTTGACATCGTCATCTTCGTCAGTATTAACCCTTCAACAATCAACAGTGATTCCAAGAAATTCAACTCCATCAAATATTGATAATTTATTAATTAGTCATCATGAGATTACATATCTTTATGATGTATGTGGTCAACATGGTACATGTGTTAGTACAGATCACGGAGATTATAAATGTATTTGTGGAACTGGTTATCAAGGAAAATATTGTCAGCAGTCAATTAATTATTGTGAAACGATGCAATGTATGAATAATGGTATATGTATAAATGGTTTAGAAGGTTATGAATGTATATGTGAAGAAGGATTTAATGGTGTACAATGTGAAAATCGTAAGGGATTTTATTAACTATGAAATTGTTAACATCATAGTTTGTCTCAATGAGTTGAATGGTTAAAGTATTCGATTTCTAATCCACAGGACTTATATATTGAATAAGATTAAGACTAATTTGGTTTGGGCAGCTAGATGATGCCATTAGCTCTCATCAAAAAAGCAGTGAACCTTCAACTTTAAGTTCACGTAGGATCATTCTGATCAAACACTACAATCGTCCAATACCAATAATAATTTACGTCTGTGAAACATGGCCATTAAGAGTAGAAGATACTCGTTAGTTACTAGTAGTTGAACACAGGTGTCTTAGAAATATTGTTCGTATCTGCTGGCATCACCGGGTAAGTAATAGTGAGGTTAGACACAGGGTATTAGGAAATGATGGTAAATCAGTTGGTGAGATTGCGAATCTTCATCGACTGAGATGGTTGGGCCTCGTGTTACGTATACGTGAACACCGATTACCACGACGCGCTATGCTGACTAGTGTAGGGGATGGTTGGAAAAGAGTTAGGGCTGGCCGAACCAAAACGTGGCATCAGTGCTTGAAGTCACTGAACTTTAGTCTGAACCATGTAGGTAGATGCAGATTATTTGGTTGGTGTCCGCGTGACTACCGTAACCAATGGTTTTAGACTCTGTGTGACATGGCTCAGAATCGATCACACTGGTGTAGATGTATACGCTCTTTGTTCTTCCCTTAAACTTTAAGATTAAAATTGCTTCATATCTGTCTTCCTTCCTATACTATATCCTTATGAACAACCTTTTTTTATATATTTCCACCACTAAATTAACTACTTCTATGAATTCGATGTTGAACTTGTTGTGCTAACGAGGTATGGCAACTTGGACCGATGCATATGGGTGCCAGGTCCTACTTTGTAGCTGACTGACTGACAATTGATACTTCCCGTTTTTAAACTACTGTCAATCCATTATAAACCTCTTTAAGCAAATGATCCATTGATTATCCTATTTTTTTCTTTATAGCTATTGATTTATGTCAACCAAATCCATGTCAAAATGGTGGATATTGTCAGCATACATTATATACAGGAGATATCCAATGTCATTGTCCACCAGATTGATCTGGTCGTTGGTGTGAATTTCAAACAGATAATCCATGTAATATGGCTAAAATGTGTTTTAATAATGGTAAATGTCAACAAGATCATTTAAGTCCTGCATTATTTAAATGTGAATGTGATAAAGAATGGATTGGATCTGTTTGCCAGTTACGTAAGTTTAGTTGATCTATAAACCAATTTAGTGACCTTATTGTTAGATCGGCTTACAATAAACTCTATCAAAGCCTCCAGAGAGGCTCATAAAGAGACCAACCAATCAGCGATTAGTTAGAAGCTATGCTACTAAAATGCTACTAAAATAACAAGGTCCTGATTGGCTGTTAACATACTGTTACTATGGAATCTCAAGGTCTTTCAGCTACTATAAAACCCCTGTTTTTTCTGTACATAATTGAACCTTGTAGTAAAGTGCTTCTCTGATACTCGTGTCTTCTTACTGGTCTTTCAAGTCGCTGAGTAGTGCTAGCCTGGGGTTATCCGAATAGCTAGGATCCGAATAAAACGTTCAACCTACAAGACATATCACTTATATCTGACACCATGTTGATTGTGTACATAATTATAATTGAAGTATTCATATCGGCTATCCTCATACACAATTATCGACTTAATTGGCGTTAGTGTTTAACGGAATCAAATAAGTCAAATAGGAGAATGACATTTTGAATACCTATATTTCGTACAATGGTTGATTGAGCCAAACGATCGAAGAAACGAAGCACAGAAAGTGAAGTGAGCAGAGGGAAATGATGCGCATTGAAGATGGAGTGTGAGCCAACTCAATTCAATCAAGCGTTATTCAATATTTGTAGTCACATAATAATAAGTTACAGACATGTGATGAGTAAGATGAGAAATGTATGTGCTTACATAAAAATAGTCACGTTTGATAAGTGAATAATTAACAAGGTCAAAATGTAGCTCTAGAACAATGGATGAATTGATTTGTCCAGAAGTTAGAATAAACTGTGCTGACTTAACGCAGCACTCAACATTACACCAATAACAATGTTCAGTAGAAATCTACAGTGTAATGTAAAAGTTTAACGGGAATTTATTTTTATAAATTGAGAAGCGAATTTATCTGTTTGTTTTGTTACATTCTATTCATTTTACAGTTGAAATCATGAGTCAATCAAAGCTAGACCACTATGGAAAACCTGGAAGCACTGGACAGCCGTTTCGTCCCATTGTGGGACTCTTCAGCTATGTGAATCCACGATTCCACCTTGCGAGACTTAATCACAAGACCTATCAGTCTCGCACGTGATCGCCTAACCTCTAGAACCATTGAGCCGGTCTGCATCTGGCGGTGCTAATGTTTAACTTCAACCAATTCGTGAAATTGAGCAGGAATCTCGTGAGGCGATTAAGTGACATAATAAAAATGTTTGATTACATATTCTAGTTCTTACATCAAATTCTTTTATTCATTCATTTCTAATTTAAGGTCGACTAGAAACGAGATCATGTGTACAAGAAAATCTATGCAAAAATGGTGCTACATGCGTTGATTTAGGTAATAGTTTTAATTGTATTCATCGTCATGGTTTTGATGGTCAATATTGTGAAAATGAAATTAATGAATGTAATTCAATGCCATGGTGAGTTCACTTGTTATATATAAAACGTTGTTTAATTAATGTCACAAAAAATTATTCTCTTACGCGTGTTATCCCTCGTAGACGAGCGTAGGTCGCCAACCAAGATTTTCTATCGAAATCTATCCTGAACAATCCTTTCCAGTTGTTGAACTGGCTGAACTTTGTAACATGAACAACTAAGATTTCAATCCAATAGTCACACACTCATCTAAAGGTTAGAAGTGTCTATATTTAATCCTTGACAGATTCGTGAACACCTATTACTACAGGGTATACTGACACAAAACACAGAAACTATTGGAAAGTCTTTAATGATTCTCTAACTGTGAACACTTCATTGTAAGGACGGTCCACAGGTGAACTTGACGAAGGTCTTAGAAGCTCAGAAGGAGCCGAATATATTTCATCCAATCAGCTTTTGAAATATTATTCCAGAATCACTACGTGAAGCTTCCCTATTGGGCAATGCTAATAACCCCCTGTTTGCGGATTAGATAACTATAATGATGATTTCGTTTTTACCAAAAACTATAAATACTTGACAGTTTTATACCATAATTGACACTGTGTTGGTAATAACATTTCTACTTACTAGTCTTCTGTCTCCTCTCTTGCGACTTTGCGGATTTGATCGTTCAAGTAGTCTAGTAGTATGCGGCATAGTAAGAATCCAAAGCTGTAGGTATAACATTTACTTATCTACCATTTTTGTCTTTCAGTTACAATAATGGAACATGTAAAGATCTTATTAATTCTTTTGAATGTGATTGCCCAAAAGGTTTTATTGGAACGGATTGTAGAATAAGTAAGTGATGAAATTTTCTTTTTTTGTCTTATAATGATGTAATGAATTTGACCTGTTGACGATATTCATGATCTGTCATGAAACCTTAATGGTGTAGATACAAAGTACTGAATGACAGCTGTTCACTGTCAGTTATACTGTATATATATGTTTGATATTTTCTTATTGTGATTGTTTGTGCCTCCGGCTGCTTACAGAAAATATTTTTTCCTACTTTGTCTTGAAATTCTCACTCTAGTTTAATCAATATTTAATGCTCTACTGTTATAACTTTTACCCCTTGTCAATTATCACGTTATCAGATCACCAATCAGAATATCGAATTATACAACTTTGGCACTGTGACAAACCAACGACATATCAACCTTCACTAGCAGCCTTCAGCTAACTCTGAATCCTTATTGATCTTTTTCGTCTAACCTAGACCCTTGAGTTTAGAGCGGAATCTCAGCCTCCACCTTAAGTGATTTCTGTACAAATAATCCAGACCGCAGCACAACATAAAATAAAAAATGTGATAATTATCCAAGATCAAGCCAAAAGTGACTATGAGTGCGGGAAACTGCAATTAATTAAGTTGGGAATAAGTTAAGAATGATAAATCGTATAATAGTGGCCAATAGGTCAAATAAAAGCTTATGACACAAGGAATGTGAATATATTCATAAACTAGTTACTGAATAATTGTCAATAAGAATGTATGTGATAATCGTCCACAACTAATTCCTAGCAGTTACCATTAATTTATTCTTCATTCCGATAGAACATTTACAATACTTATCCATTCAATATCAGTTGGCGATAGGAAGAAAATGTCTCCATCAAATTAATGAAGGTAGATTGTATTTGTCATAGATTGTTCACAATAAAAGTATCTTTAAATACCAAGGATCATTGGACATTTGTTTAGTTCTAATATGACATTACGAGCAGTGGGCAACCATGATACTGCATCATCACAGACACCTTGCTGATACAAACAAACTAACATGTAATTTAGGTTCAGATTTTCCAGCCTACTTCCCACAATCTCCTAATATCAATAAAATGGTTCATTTGATATTTAGTCATTTAGACTAATGGCTACACACTTATTGTATCTATAAAATACGCCTACCTGTTTCACAAATGTTAATATACATAATAAATGTTATATCCTTGCGAAGACATAAGTAAGGGTAACTCCCAGGATCTATTACTGGAAGATTATTCTATACATATATTGTTACTGTTTAACTATTGAGTAATTAGATTGTGGATATCTATATTCATCTTATTATTAGCTCTATTTTGACCTATGGATTATTATTATACGAATTACTGTTCTTTATTTATATTCAGTTTATTGATTACTGTCTCCCACGTTTACAGCCACATTCGGCCTGATCTTGCACAAATATTCTTTACTATTTTATGGTGTGATGTCTGTCTGGTATATAAACAGAGTATGTTTGAAATAAACGATTCGCATAGATTCGCATAACAGAAGCTGTCATTGGTGTTCTGGACTCAAGTGGGAGGACAAGGACCAATAAGGACGCTAAATTACTCATACTGATCGAACGTCATTGATTGTCACAGTGTTATGGTCGTATTTCCATTGGTGGATAGTTCACGTGATATAAGCCGGACACATAATCGAAAACGAATTGTCACACGTCCCTTTGTTTATTTTGTAAAGTCATGACAAATTGGCGACGGCATTGGTCAAGACATAAAAATAAACCCTATAGTGTTACTGAAAAGTTAATATATACTTTCTATTCATATTTCTTGATAGATGTTAATGAATGTGCTTCATATCCATGTTCATTTGGATCAACTTGTATTGTTCGTGTTGGAACATATGAATGTATTTGTCCAGAACAACAATATTGTCAACATTGTGATGAAGTGATCATTGAAACAGAACCAAAATCACCAGCATGTAATTTTTATGGTCGAATTTATGATCAAAATGATAATTGGACATATAGTTGTCAACGTTGTCATTGTAATAAAGGACAAATTATATGTACTGATGTAAGTATATACTACTACTACTACTACTACTACTACTACTACTACTACTACTACTACTACTACTACTACTACTACTACTACTACTACAATTACTACTGCTTATAATAATGATAATGATTTTATTGTGGAAATGAGTGAAAAAATAGGGGGGGTAATGAATTTATTTCATTTGAATGGAGATTTTCATTCAAACATTTGGAAAAAAGCAAGCTAATCAATCACACTTGATGGTGAAACTGTGGAAGAGGTGGAAACAGTCACGTACCTGGGAAGCATAATTGATAAACATGTAGGATCGGATGCAGATGTAAAGGCGAGGATTAGCAAAGCAAGAACAGCATTTCTACAATTGAAGAACATATGGAACTCAAAACAATTGTCAACTAACTTCAAGGTCAGAATCTTCAATACGAATGTCAAGACAGGTCTACTGTACGGAGCAGGAACGAGGGGAACTACTACATCCATCGTCAAGAAGGTATAAGTATTTATAAATAGTTGTCTACGCGAAATACTCAACATTCACTGGCCGGATACTATCAGCAACAGCGTTTTATGGGAGAGGACAAACCAGCAGGTTCCAGCTGAAGAGGAAATTAGGAAAGATGTTGGAAGTGGATCGGACATACATTGAGGAAATCACCAAACTGCATCACTAGGCAATCCCTAATTTGGAATGGTGAATGGAAGTGGAAAAGAGGAAAGGTCAAAGAACACATTACGCCAGGAAATAGAAGCAGATATGAAAAGGATGAGTGCTAACTGGAAAAAAGTGGAAAGGATTGCCCAGGACAGGGTTGATTGGAGGATGCTGGTGAGCGGTCTATTCTCTTCCACGAGGGGTAACTAAGTAAGTATGACTAAAGGAAATAATTTTATGTAAGCAACAGCAGATCTAAATTCCGTTCTATTTTTTACATTCATCGGTGTGAACCAATCTTAATCATTATCGTATTCAATGATGCTATCAATAATCAATTTAAAGACTGACTGATATGGTGGAGATTTGTAGCTCATAACAACATAAAACATAAAAAAAAAGACTGACTGATAACCTGAAATATTCACACCAATTAATCACTGAGTAGCAAAGAATGTGATATTCATCTGCTCAATATTAGTGATAAGATTCTTCCTTCGAAAATAAAATCAGTCCGCCTAGGAATTCTCGAGAAAGTCTTCAGCAGTTGAGGAAAGTATGAAAATAATTCATATGACCATTGTTTTATGGGAGCTTCATAGAGAGTTCTAGAAAAACGATGGATTGCGTCATATCTTGACTTAATAACTACTGAATTCCATATTAGATTTAGCTTATTCCCAGTAGCCTTCTGTAAGGATGGCTCGTTGGTAAACTATAGGAAGCCTCAAGAATCCCAGAAAGAGCAGAAGATATTCCATCCAATCACTGCTAGGGGAATATTCTAGAATGTCGAGGTGTAGCTTCACCATTGGATGGATTAGCATGACCCCCATGTGCCTATTGGTTGTCCGAAATGATGATTTACATTCAGATAAAAAACTATAAATACACGAGATTTCTATACTATATTTTGATACTGTTTTGGGGAATAAATTTCGTACATACTAGTCTTCTGTCTTCTCTCTTGCGACGTTGCGGATTCGATCGTTCAAGTAGTTTAGTAGTATGCGGCATAGTAAGAATCAAAGCTCTAGATATAACACCTTCAGAATTTCAATAGCATTCATAAATCCGAAAATTTCGTTATTTATTTTACAAAGGCCATCCATTTCCCTGCCTCCCGGATTGCGATTCTTTTCGGAGTTCTGGTATGGAAATTTTTCTTGGGAACTAGAATGAATCTAAAAATTCAGTTTCAGTCAATTAGGTACTGAACTTATCAAGTTTCTTTTAGTTTACATATACGCCATATTGACAATTCTCAATGAGCACATAACCCAAGACTAAGTAGAGCTCTTTCTAAATTAAATCCTCTTGATATTATTTGTTCGAATCTTCCTATTGATGTTTAGGACTGCAGTTGATCATTCTCTTTTATTAGTATATGTGCAGCACCAGAGTCTAGGACGCGTTTTTCGTCATATTTGGCACTCGTCAGCTGGATGTATCTGCATCACAGAGATAATGCTCACCTCGAGACTCGAACCCAGTATCTTTCACTTGAAAAGCTATCGCATTATCCACTCAGTTACTGAGTCTTGATAGCCACAAACAATACAAAATGAATTTAAACTTCACCTAATTGCACAAGCAAGTGGCTATCAAGACACAATAATTAAATCGATAACGTGATTTCGTTTGAAGCGAATGTCATTGCGTTTGAGTCTCAGAGTGAACATCAACTCTGAGATGCAATTAAATCCAGCTGACGAGTCCCAAATAAGATGAAACGCACTATCCTTTCTTTACTTATAATACTTTGTCATATCTCTACATATTCTACATTTTTCTTCTTATCTAAAGGATTTTTGTGGTTATTGGTCATGTTTACAAGTAATTGAAAAAAATGATCGTTTTGCTTGTAAATCAAATGAAATTTGTCATATTATATCACCTGGTTTATATGATGAATGTTTTATACCACCATGTTATTTACGTACAATTTGTTTAAATGCCAATCAATCAATTACGGAACAATTAAAAAAGTTATTACCAAATTATCATTTTAAATTAGCATTACCTAATTGTCGACCAAATAATTTTATATTAAATAATCATTGTGCTAGATTATTATTACATTTTTCAAAATTACGTATGTCATATTCAATTACTGTAAATGACATATGTAATGCTGTGTAAAATTGAGCATCATCCCAGAGTGAAGATCAACTCTGAGATGCAAGTACATCCAGCTGATGAGTCCCAACTAGGACGAAATGCGCAACCTGGGTTTCACTACTAACCACTATCCATCTTTACTTATAATGCTTTCTCTAAATTACTTCATCATATCAAATCATATAATGCTGTGGAAAATTGACCATCATTAAAAAAATATCATCAATATGAAAGTGACCGAATGGGTATCGGTATAAGTTGTGATATGAAGGTGGATTATTCTAGAAAACAACAAAATATCATAGAAGTAAGTTGAATTTATTTATATTTCATGTTAAATGGATATTCTTTGTTGAAAGAGATCTTTTTTATAATCTAAATTTCACTACTTTTTTGTTTTTAAGTAGTTAAAGTAACACGGCAAAAAACAATGAACGATTGAATATCTGTGGAACATCATGACAGCACATGAATAATGACTTTAGATGGAATTAAGCCCAGGACTGTCAATTCTTTTAGTGTAAGCATGATACTTTTTGGATTATGGAAATAAATTCAATAATTGAATACACAGAGTGATTAATATTCAATATGATTTCATAATATATGCACCAAAATGCTACTTAATTATAAAATCCTATTAGTGTAGTGAATGAGAACATAAGTGAGGGCAATCAAATGTATTGAAACATAAAATTACAGAATCACTTGGTAAAATCTGAGAACCAAACAGCAAATACTTCATTTGAAAAATGTTAACCAATCGTTTCAGATTTCATTGTTCCTTCATATCCACATCAATCATCCACTGTTCTCATTTTCTTTTCTTCCATCTTCTTGACCTTCTGTCAAGAGGCATTTCACTTTCGATCAATGACATATACTACTTATATCTGTGGACACCAGTAGAACTTACCAAACTATGAACCTATATAGATCTAATCAAAATCTGTTAGGAACAATGATGCATTCGAGTCACTGGATCTAAACACTAACCAATTACATTGAGATTACATATCAGTACTGTCGGATTTAAAAGTACATAAGGCTAACTGTATTCAACCAACCACACAAACAACAACAAATAATGCTTCCAAGCTGGCCATCTGTTTGAAAAGTACATTTAATATCCCTTTCTGATAAAATCCCAACCGTTGCTGCTACCTTGACGTGGTGGTCGGGCTTGCTTAACGTGATGAACCAATCGAGATATACTGCCTCGAACAATCGTTCCTCAAGGTCCTACCATGCCAAACAGTTCGGCTGAAGAGCGGTCAGATTAAAAGCAGCGAACCCAAGGTTTGAAGGCGAAGTCGTACTACCGACTGTACAGAGGTGTGACTGCAGAGGGCTGTTTCCTTCAGACAACCAGCATAACAGCGATGCTGCTTTCACACAAAGAGGGATGGGGTTAGAACATGTCGATCCTATAAGTGCACACCTCGCCTTATCCCAAGGATATCCGTTTCCGGCGGTAAGGCTCTAGCAAGTACGGAGCTAACACTAAAACTACCCACAAAAAGATCGTGTGTGACCGACCTCAAGCAGTTGTCCCTTGAGCACTGCGGTCACGCTTTCAGGTCATTGAGACCACTTCTAACCCGATTTCTCTTTCGCGTACCTCTAGAAGAACCCTTTCACGGTGTAGGCGTTCGGGAAGTGGTAAGTGCCTCATACCTCTAACAGCACTCAAGATCACTATTTTCATAATCAATCTCCTTCTTCGATTCCCATTATTATTTCCATCTCGACTTTCAACACCAAAACATACTCTTTCGGCTTCCTCCTTAAGTGTCACCATGGCCGATGATTATAGTGCGCGAAACACTGTCCCAGGTCTACTGAAACCTCTCCAAACTACACATTGGGAGCCTTCAACATACGTATCCTAAGTCAAATCGGTCAACAAGCCTCTTTGGCTATGACCCTAGAAACTCGTACCACTGATGTATGCTTTGTCTCCAAAACACGCAAATAGGATCCCAGTGTGGTCACTTACTTGACCTTACCTCGCCAAAATGGACAGTCAGCGAAATACACCCTCTGTGTATCTGGCGACTCGATGGGTAGTTCTCGTGGAGAGGCTTGACAGAAGACTGTCGCTCGTATTGGAATGCTTTTTTACACTCTGATCACGCTTCAATACGAGCGCGCATTTGTCCGCGCCTCGATGGACGCAGGAAAAGTACACTAAGAAGGCCCATTAGGATTGAACTGGAGGACGAAAATCCTAAATGTATATTCCAGGAACAACTGAGTTTACATCTAGGCAGTTCTGTAAACGAGACTGACCCAGATGCTGCTTGGAAAGACATACAAACAGCTGTGGAAACAGCAGTAACATCTATTAGTTATTCAAACCACAGGGTTCCAAAAAACAAATGGATTTCTTCCAAGTCTATTTCACTGATGGATTCGCGTAAATTCATCTCATCAGGCTCTGAACACGACGAAGAGTGCAAACAAATCAAATGTATGTTGACTAAAAGTCTAAGGAACGAAAGCAAAAGAGATGGAAAAGGCAGCAACTGTAGGCAACACCAGGCAAGTCTTCAGACTAATAAAGGAAACCGAAATTAATAAGTCAAGTGTAAGTGAAACGATCTCGGAAAAAGACGGAACCCTTATCTGCTCTCAGCCCAGAGGTCTTTAAATATGGTGGCCAATTTTAGCGACTAGGTTGACTAATATTTTGACTAAAATCTGGGAGTTGGACGTTATCCCATCTGACTGGTCACAATCTCTGATTGTCACAACACATAAGAAAGGGTCAAAATCATCCTGCGATAACCATAGAGGAATTAGTCTGACTAACATAACATCTAAAATACTAGCCTCAATAATTATCGGGCGCCTAACTAAGGGTCGTGAACTGCAAACACGAGAAAATCATGCTGGCTTCAGACCTGGTCGTGGCTGTATCGACCACATATTCACTATTCGTCAGGTTTTGGAGCACAGACATGTTTATCGGCGTCCGACAATGATAGTTTTTCTTGACCTGACAGCAGCATTTGACTCTGTAGACCGAGAGATTCTGTGGCAGTGTCTGTCATTAAAAGGTGTACCTAAGAAGTACATAAACCTTGTGAAGGCTCTTTACTCGAACACTATCAGTCGAGTGAGAGCTTGTGGCGCACTGTCATCTGATTTTACAACCTCAAGTGGTGTCCGTCAAGGCTGTCCACTATCCCCGTTTTTGTTTAACCTCATTATAGACCTGTTGCTGGAAATGACACTCTCGTCGACTGAATTTTCAGGAATTGATCTCCTACCAGGGGGTCCACTAAGCGACTTAGAATAAGCAGATAACATTGTCCTGTTTGGTGAAGACGCTGGCAAAATGCAGAGTTTTCTGTTGGAACTCAGTAATAATGCCAGGATGTTTGGGATGCGTTTCTCCCCATCCAAATGTAAATTGGTACTCCAGGACTGGTCTGCATCAACACCTGAACTAAAGGTAAGGGGGCGAAGTAGTCGAACGCGTGGAAAACTTCACTTGTCTTGGAAGTCTGATCAGCCCTAATGGCTTGGTGTCTGACGAAATCTCAGCACGGATTCAAAAAGCTCGTTTGGCTTTTGCCAACTTACGTCACCTATGGCGAAGACGAGATTATCCGTCTATCAATTAAGGGACGTGTATACTGCGCATCAGTTCGCTCTGTTCTACTTTACGGCTGTGAAACATGGCCATTAAGAGTAGAAGATACTCGTTAGTTACTAGTAGTTGAACACAGGTGTCTTAGAAATATTGTTCGTATCTGCTGGCATCACCGGGTAAGTAATAGTGAGGTTAGACACAGGGTATTAGGAAATGATGGTAAATCAGTTGGTGGGATTGCGAATCTTCATCGACTGAGATGGTTGGGCCACGTGTTACGTATACCTGAACACCGATTACCACGACGCGTTATGCTGACTAGTGTAGGGGATGGTTGGAAAAGAGTTAGGGCTGGCCATATCAAAACGTGGCATCAGTGCTTGAAGTCACTGAACTCTAGTCTGAGCCATGTTGGTAGATGCAGATTATTTGGTTGGGGTCAACGTGACTATCATAACCAATGGTTGTAGACTCTGTGTGACATGGCTCAGAATCGATCACACTGGTGTAGATGTATACGCTCTTTGTTCTCCCCTTAAACTTTAAGATTAAAATTGCTCTATAATTTTCTTACTTTCTGTAGTATGTCAATAAATGCAATCTCACTTTTATATATTACCACCATAGAATTAACTACTTCTATGAGTTCGGTGTTCGTGATGTTGTATCAATGAGGTATGACAACTTAGACCGATGCATATATGTGCCTGGTCCTGCGTCCTAGATGACTGACTTTCTGATAAAAGTGTTGCTTGTACTGAAATTTGTAATATTTGGTTAATATCTGCTTCCCATACATACAGTGACAATGACATGATCTTCGTTTCTGAACTTCTTTTTTGCACTCAGTCTTAATATAGAATCGACTTAACTGAAGTTTATCGTGGATTTATACTGCATTTTACAATCATAAGCACGGAACAGTCCAGTAGAGTAGTCGGCACATAGGCCGTTGGTCCCATCGGCTTTTTAACTGCAACAACAGATGTCCATGGTGAGAAAGTAGTTCGTTGTATATCTACGAGTTTTTCTAACCACTCGAGTTCTTTATGAACTTTATCAGTGGAGGCGTATGACATTTTTCATTCAGGACGGAATACTGGTTTCACTCTCAGTAGTAAAACAACCCAACGTGTTCTGAGATACACTTGAATGTTTCTCAGAAAGATCCGCCGCTCTAAAAACTTTAGCTTTGAATGTTACAGTTTGCACAGATGAGTTAATATCAATGTAGGAGTCATTTAATGTACATACCGTGTTCAAATAGGTATTTGAGATAGTGGAGTAGATTTGTAGCTTAGGTGAATGCTTTTGATGGAGTTTTTCCCTCTGAGCTGGATGGTTTGTCAGTTTGTACATTTTTCCAGAAATGAGTGTGATATCGGATTCTATGTCTAGTTGTAGACAAATATGAACGTCATTCAGTAATAAATCAACATGCAAATGTTGAATTTATATTGCAAATCTACTTCCTGTGACACCAGGAAGACTTCACCCGTGATTTGGATTTTAAATCTAACCTTATAAATTAAATTATAATCTCTTTATGACCGACTTTACACCAACCATTTGATCAGTGATTTATACAACGAGAAGTTTTGGCGAGATGTTATTCACCACAAAACCAGAATCTTGTAAAAGGTTTCTTTAATTGCGCTTGGCGTTGTTGCCTGACAGTAACATTATTTTGTCTGCACGATTTGACAGAATGAATAATAAAGTTTATTGAGGTTTCTCCTCTAGTTTCTATCATCGCAGTGTCATATTTTAAATTTACCAGGCGTTGACACTTTGTAGCAATCATCTTTAATGTCATTTCATTATCTTCAAAGCACAATAGTAATCGCGTTTACACTTTGGCATCTGTGGATAGTTGTAGTCTAGAAACAAATGATGTAGATTTAAACTGGTCATTTGATAATCCATTTAATTTAAAGCATTGAGCTTGTGGATTAATCCTGCTTACGTACGTCGGATAATCTTCATCAGCATGCTTGGTTAATTGGAGGCATTTGAAACGAACATAGAATGATGACTCTTGTTCAAAATATCAACGGTTTCATCAAAATTCAACTCCCTTGGGTGATCTAACAATATATGATTTCTTATATTTGTTGCATTGCTGTAGGTCAAGTTTTGTGTCAGCAGTCTTACCTTTGAAACTCGTCCTGCAGCTCTTCTGGAGTTACTGGCTTACCTTTGAACCAAGACAGTGGATACGGACGGTTTATTATTCAAAGGAATGTAAATAAACTATGCAGTCCCGAAGAAATAAATATTGCACGAACTCAATCTAGTTATTAGCTACCAGGGAATTGTATTCCCTGTTGCTTTTGTGTTGTCTGACGGACTGAACTTTCATGTTAAAGGTCCGCGAGATTGTCAGTGGTAGGAAAACGTCTGATCTCAGTTGTATAACAACATACACGCCAATCATGATGTTATAGGATGGAAAAATGATCTGAAACCTTGATCACCTTTCATTAAGCGACAAGAGCCAGTCAGTCAGTTACAACGTAGAACTTCATACGTACGTACATCAGTTTGAGTTGCCATACCACATTAACACAGAGATGCAGTTGCCGATTTAAATCGCATAGTGGTCGAAGTAGTAAGAGTATAAGCAGTAATCGGAAAGATTAGGGTTTGAAGATGTTATCCAATGAGTATAATATAGTGAAATAAATTTGGAAGGAGAAAAAAGATAGAGACATGAGGAATTGAGAAAATAAGAATTTGGTAGAACACAAAGAGTGGATGCCCGTACTCCATCGCTTTATCAAGCGACAAGAAGAAACTGATAATTGCAATGTTTTGTTTGATTAGTTGAACGATTTACGAATTTCAGATCAGTTCAGTGAACCAAACTATCAATTGAACTGTACTATTCAATCAAGTTTTATTTACCCTAATCGTTGCATGTAATATCGTTATAAATTGTTGAATAATGTATATTATCTTATAACTTTCATATCTATTCTTTTCTCACTCCCTATGGGAAAAGGTAACACTCAGTTCATTGAATGATCAAATCCGAATTGGTTCAGATGGTAGAGAATATTCATTTATTCATGAATCAGCTAGAAATTTATCTAAAGAAGCTTATTTAGCTGCATTAACTAATTTAAAATTACGTAAAGACAATTTCAAATTATCCAATAATGGAAGTGACAATAATAATGAATATGCCAATAATGACAGTAACCATGATGATGATGATGAGGAGGAGTAGGAGGAGGAGGAAGAGGAGGGTACAGTAGTTGTAGTTGTAGTTGTTGCATATCAGTTGCCCGTTTACTTATTATTGCGATAGTTTGCTATGTACTGTATTATGACTATGAAATATGCCATTTGAAGGTGGAGAACACCAATAGGTTGAAACGTTTTGAATGTTGTGTAGATGTCTTTGAATAATCACTTTCGGAGTAGTGAAAACACGAGGTTGAGGTTAGGTTTATGGTAATGGGCGAATTGATCTTGAGTTTATAATGAATAAGAGTCATGCAGTACATAATATAAGTTTACTGAGTTTTACCAATTATTAGGACATAACGAAAACGACAACGATTCACTATATGAGATTAACGTGACAACAATTCAGATATTCGAAAGCAGCCTTGTTAGTTTATTTCATATTTTATTTGAACACATAAATATTGGTACAAAGAGGCATCAGAAATATATTCAACACACATTTGTGTGAGGTCTATGATATTGTCCGGGTGCCCAAAATGAAGCAGGTGGTTTTCTTAGGAAGTCACACCTTGTGCCTTTGACCTGAAGGTCTGATCAAGCGGACAGTGGGGAATCGTGAAGAAGTGCATTTTAATGGTAGCCGGTGACCAACAGTTAGTTCATACACTATTTGTTACCTCAGGATCCTGGAGCCCATGTGCACCATTGGTTTGGAATCAGGGTTTACTAACTCCCCTAGATGGACTTATAAGTTCCAAACTAGGTTTGGCTGAAGAATAACTGTCTGGTAAGTGAACAAACGCGTGTCTGCCAATCGAAGTCAGAACAAGGTGATTGGGGTAACAACGGTTCTAAATTCTATCATAAATACAAATATATGACTTCACCTAAACAAATATTACCACACAGTTATTCAATCAATAATTGTTGCCACAATAAACAATCTAAATAACAATAAATAGATAAATTGATAAGAAATATAAGAGAATTTCTGAAAGCACCAAAAATAAGTATTATTCTATCCTTCTTGGATAAATCAATTGTTTCCGATTCTGGGAATGTACATCAATTCACAACCAAAATGTACGATCCCGGTCAGATCCAGCAACAAAATGAAAGAGAGAACGATCAATATGGCTGCCGCCAAGATACAATAAACTGAGTGAGAGCGAAAGAGAAAATGCTAAAATTGTTATGAAATGAAACATTACAATCTCAAATGGCATCAAAAAGGTCAACAATAATGAACAACTAGGGAAACCATTAAGAACAATTTGCAAGTGTATGCATGGAGGGATTTTGACGCAAGTAACCTTCAAAATGGATCTCATTGGACTCAGTATGTCAACCGATAGCCTTGTTTAAAAAAATCCTACATAACAAAAAGCTTTAGGTATTTATTCTTAAATCCATACGACATGTCTGTTCTTAAAAGAATATGAGTATCAGTAAGAATGAATCGTACGTGAATTTTACTGAGATTTAAGAAGAGTTTCAGTCCCGTTATTTTTATATTTTAGTGTATTAAGATGTGCTCACATGTAGAAGATCGATTCAATATCCGGCGGTAGATTCAAAAACTATTAATACTTAAGATCTCCAATGATCACATATTCCTCTCTCTCTTTCACAATAGCAAATAAAAGTCAAATGATAAGTTTTGTTGAGTGATGGACGCTCTGTCAGAAATATTGCCCCCTTCTCCGCGAACTCTTTGACTGCGATTTCACAAAGCATCTTACCAGCAACGTTCAGAATTCCCCCGGATGCACTATGCGATGATTGATGAGTTGAATATATATTCTTGATTTATCAATTTTCTCCTACGTCCTCCTGCTTATAAGTGTTATATCGAAGGCTGTGTCTAGCTGTAAGCAGGCATCATACCCATTAATGTTGAGGGAAACATACTTCCTATGATTATGGGAGCCGGTTCTGTTAACAGCTACCGTCACTTTGACTGTACGTGGCTTGAATATTCTCGAATAAACTTTAGTTATAATCGAACGCTGATTAGATAAAATGCTTCCTAATGTTTCCTTGAGCTTGTCATGTCTATTGTAAGAAATTTGCAGGATCATCCCAACAGCAAGTATAAAAAACATTTGATTATTTCTTGTTTCATTTCAGGTTCACGTTTATTGGTCCCTATAATATGTGCTACAATCTTATTGATTGCATTAATCTGTATCTTCATTATATGTTGTTATTCACAAAGAAAACGTCGTCAACTCCTTATGAGATATGCAACAACAACAACAGTGGCGCCTAATAATGAACCATCATCAAATTTAATTCAAAATTTATCAGACAGTAATAATCATTCAATGAATGTAACTAATCCAATTAATATAAAATCGATTCATCAAAATTACCCTTCATATCATCCACAATTCATATGTGAATCAACATTACTGTCGAAAAGATTTTTATCACCACAATTTCATCATAATCTAAATGGAAGGAGAGTATTAGCTTATAATGATAATGATAATATCACCAGTAATATTCCACAAGGAGTCTGTACAGTCAATACAAATCATGTAAATATGAATCAATACAGTGGACCAGTTATGATTTAAGTAGTATATATGAAATTAATAAAAGATATGATATTGATATTCTACAACTATTATTGAAAGACAAGAAATTGATATACGAACTGTCATCTAAGTTAGATGGAATAGTTTCACACTATTACGGTGACGAATTGATGAAAGACATTAAATAGGAAGGAGAAGAATGCATTTGTAAAATCTTAACGACGACTGAATTTGAAGTAATTCCAAGGAACAAGCATTGATCAGATTGCTAGAGCGAAAAGTTGAAGTCACTTCAGATTCATTCGTTGAGATTTTACAAATATATTCTTCTTTTTCATAGTTGAAAGCATGAATCAATTGGAGCTAGACCACCGAGGAAAACCCCTGAAGCACTGAACGACCATTTTGTATCATTATGGGACTCCTCAGTAGTGCATATCCAATATTTCGCCTCGCGAGATTCAAACCCACAATAGGACGAAACGGCCGTCCAGTGCTTCCAGCTTTTCCTTAGTGGTCTAGCTTCAATTGACTCATGCTTTCAACTATGAAAATAATAAATCAACACAAAACCCCTTCTGATTGTTCTTCCCATTGAAAAGAAATTTAATTTTTGAACTGTAGATATTTTCATAGAAACTTATTATAATTAAAATGACATTCGAGAATAGGATTAACAAGAGATTGAAGATTATTTAGCCGGTTCAATCTTGAAAATTTCATTATGAACTGTTACTTACTTACTTATGCCTGTTACGCCCAATGGAGCATAGACCGCTGACCATCATTCTCCAACCCACTCTGTCTTGGACCTTCTTTTCTACTTCTATCCAACCTATGTACATTCTTCTCATGTCTGCTTCCAGTTCTCGGCATAGATTGATGCAAACATTGTAAGTATTATTTTAGAACGTAAACCTTTCTTTCTTTTTTCGTTTTGAATTCTCTAACAAATTACCATTGTAGTAAAAAAGAAGATAATTAATCAATACCAGTCATCTTTGATTTGAAAGAAAACATTGTTAATTAATCAAATATGACGTGGGACAGACACGGCGTTTTGGTTGGTATTCGATATTATCCTTAAACTTCGTGTATTGTTCACTTTAATAACCGTTACTAGATAATACTCCAACGGTGCATAAATCAGAAGGTGAATACAAAGTGTTGATTTCGTTTATCGTTGAAACACACACAGATATCTAAAACTGCAGGTACGTTAAGCAAGAATGAAAAAGAAGTGCCGAAATGCAAGCAAGTAAGCGAGAGGATGATCGAGTCCATGAACGAGTGTGTAAATGAATGAAACATTGAATCACTCGAGCGACTAATAGAAAGGCTAACAGAATGAATATATGCGTAGACAGTAAGCAATGCTCAACCATACATATTCATACAAGTGCAACAATAATAAAGGTACATTAGCACAGATAGGTTGTTTCTGCACGAATGACTCTATCCGTTAAATAAGTGAACAAAAAAGCTTAACCAATTTAAATATGAACAAACTCAATCGTACGAGAGCTGCTATAATGGCATCAGTGTATGTTGATTCAACTTGTTACAACCAACACAGTAAAAAGAGATGAAATAAATAAAATACATAATGTACAAGTTAAATGGTGGTCTATTATGGTAGAAAAAGATAAGTCAGAGAATATGATTGAATTCTGAACATAAGCAATATGTAGTATTGTGTGTGTCCGGGTTAGTGGTCGATTTTAATTCATGTTACCCAAGATTTTCAGTCATCGTGGACTCCTATTGGGTAGTCTAAAATCAACTGAATGATTTAGACAACCAGTCAGTGGTATCATGAACTGATACCATGTCTTGGATTGGGTGCCCTTTGCGACTGCATGATATGGACGTAAAAAAACGAAGTAAATGAACTGAATATATTATTTGGTACCATCTCAGTTGCCCCATTTCATTTTCAACTATATGTTCTACGGCTTAAATGTATCAGCCTGGATATTTTGAGTAAGAATTATTGTGTTACTATCTCATCACTTTGAGAATCACTGGTTAGACATACTGTAGTTAGTTATTCGATAATATGCCCTTATTTTGTCTGATGAGTACCTATGCCTAGTGAATGCCCATCCTACAAAAAGCAGCCGATTGAAAGTATATGTATCTGTTGATTATTATGAGCACTTATGTAAGTACCCATGCAGTGATAACAAATTTAAGACACTGGCCAACTAGTCGAAAACAACAATAAAGGAAAACTGAAATCATAAGACAGTGGACTCAAAACGACTTATAAACATGTTGAAATAGGCACTCAGGATTCTTAAGCGTTGAAAAACTAATAATATTTGAATCCT